GCCTTTGAGCTGTGGTGCTGAGGAAGAGCACTGAACATCCCATGGGCTGCCATAATGACAAACCAGAATGGCTTGAAAAAGTTGGAGGCAAGGATAGTAGTGAAACATCATCTAATACACCTTGGACATGTTGTTAGGAGGGACCTGTCATTGGAAGAGAATGCCATGCTGGAAAAGGTGCAAGATAAGAGAAAGAGGGAAGACTTTTAATGAAATGGATTGCCATAATGACTAGAATGGTAGGCTTGAATATGTCAGTGATGAGGAGGATGGCATAAGAAACGACAGATCTCGTGTTCTTAGAGTCACTATGAGTTGTAGTCGATGGGACATAAAAACAGTAACAAATTGGTGACACCCACAATCCTTCTTTTTCAAATGTGCTAAGTAAAGCTTCATAATTTTAGAGTAGTGGGTTTACTAATAGCCATCCAAACAGGAAGGTCAGGTCTGACTCTACCTGTAGGTTTCTTTGCTTGGCTTCAGACTCTTTCATTACAATTTGAGTCCTGCTCAGAACTTGTCTTTCCACTCCTGATACAGAATTTGCAGTGTAACAAGATTCTGTAGGTAAAGATACTGAGAGTCACCTTGCACATCTTGTTAAACTGTAGGTTCAGATTCAGCGTATCTGGGTTAGAAATGCATGTTCTCAGTAAGGGTCAAATCAATATGCTGAGTTGAAGCTGTTTCTCTAGTTTCATTTCCCCTCCCCCCTTTGTCAGTTTATAACCCACAGATGTGGGCTTTCAGCCAATAGTCTATTCATTTAAGTCGCTATCCGAGATCCAAGAGGTTTGCAAGCATTAATGTATAATGGTTTTGTGACAGGTTTTCTGTTGGGGAGGATTCTGATGTTTGGGGAGTTAACATATGTAAGAAAGTTCAGCGTTCATTTATAATTGAGTTATTACAACTCTTATCCTAAAGTTTACCTGTTCCCGCTGATGGAGACATGATGGATGCATGAAACAGAAGAAAGATTAAGTAATTACTATTGAAAATGAACTTTAAAAATGCTCTATTTCATGGGTAGCAATGAAGATTCCATCTGTTAAAATAGGGATTTGAGTCACGTTTCACAAATTTAAAAGCAGACATTTCCTTTACTTTTTTTTGAAGGGCATGATAGAAATTTTAATATGTGATGTTTTTGTGAAGGCCTCATTTTCTTTGCTGTATTACTACATGTATTCTTGTAGAGAAGGTTTTCTAAAATTATATATCCTTCCCAATTTAACACAAAATTACTTTATAACTGCACCTGGCACTTAAATTTTGGTCTAAAAAGAAAACTGTAGAATTGTATGTTACTGGCATATTGCAAATCTCCAACTGTGATTCTGCCACTGAAATTCTAACAGCACTTGTTCATGACACAGTCCAGATTTCATAATACTTGTGTTTTCAAAAAATGCTGGAGATAATTATTGAAACTAATATACATAAGTGTTTCCATCATGTGTGGCATTTAAAGACTCATTCTTTATCATTTTCAAGCTCCATTTTAAGTTTGCAGAAAGGACCTGATTCTTGAGAGAACACATCATTGTGAAAAGTTAATAACAAAACTTGAATTTCCTTTTCCTCCAATTAAGCACCTAAATGTCAAAACTCAATAACTTAAAAGTGCATATTAAACTACACACCTTTTCAAAGGCTGCTGATTTTAAAATCAAGTGCAGAGTTTTAAACATACCCAGTACATACTTCAGATAGTTATTCTTTCTCAGGGTTATGAGAGTTCATTGACTTGTCATTTTCTGTCTCAGAAAATTGGAAATTGAAAGTTGGGTGGTACTAGAGGAACAACTTGGGCACCAAACTATGATGTGTGGGGACAAATTTGACCTGGCTTGAAACCAACTCATAGCTGACTCTTTAGTAGATTTTAGAGGCAGTAAATCACACAGGAGGAGACTGTCCCCTTTGTCCATATTTCTCATGTTAGCATCTGAAGGATATGAACTTTGTACCATTGTGTTGGCAGTGCAATTCCTTACCACAAAGCCACCCGTGCTCCCTATATTGGGCCTATTGTTTACTTTTGTAAACAAGGATTTGTTTATGAAGTTTTGTTAAGCATAGCCATGCTCATTTGTTTTTGTCTTATCTCTGTTACTTCTGCCAAGAAAAAATATGGACTTTTATACCCTATAAAGGCAGTTCTGCTTTGTCACTTGAAGTTGCTCTGCATTGAATAACAATTTTATGCCATCTAAGAACATAAAGACAACCACATGGTTATTTTTCTGTAATGGTAGAGAAGAATAGATTTGGCAGAAATATACATGGAGTATAAAAGCCAAAAATATTTATTTCTTAATCCTTTTCAGAAGAAGTTTGCTCACTCTTTTCTACTTGACAGTCTTTAAAATACGGAGACATTTTCTACTGGACTGTATTTAAAATACGGAGAGATTTTTGCTAGTTAGTGCTGTATAACCAGAGTCATTTTATTATCAAATATACAAACTTTGGTGTATCTATACAAACACCATTTTATTTTTTGTAACATAGGGATTTTGTAGCGTAGGGAGAGCCCCATTCCCATTGCTTGTTGAGTGGTCCAACCATTTGTCTTACTTTGATTTCTTCTTACCACTTCACCTCTCTCCAGATTCTGTAATCAGCTAATTATATATTAGGTCGCAGCAGGGTTCTGAGCTTCCTGCTTGTCTCCATGTATCTATGACCTTATGATGGTTTTCTTTTTGCCGTATGAACTGATTGATGAGATGTAATTGTTCATGGAATTTGTCTGTGTTCAAATCAACGAAACTGTCTATGAAATGAGAATTGTAATTATGCATATTGCTATTAGCCTGACAACTTATGTTATTGTCCATAAATTGGCAAGGGTATCTGATTTTTTTTTTTTAAGTGAATTTAGAAGGGAGGTGGTTTGTTTCATACTTAGTCGAAGTTCTTTCCTTGTATGGCTGAGCTTAGCCCCTGGGCATGCTATTGTAGGTTGGATAACCAAGGGGACAGTGGTGGTTCTAGAGACAATGGTAAATTTCTATGTAAGATTTCATTGTTCTCCAGCTTAGTGGAAAGAAGTAGGGAATATATTCTTGCATATGCTCACTCACACATTAGTCTCTTCTCTAATTCCTTCTCTTCCCTCCCTCCTTCTATAGTGATGCCTGATACCAATCTAATATCATCACATTTATGTGAGCTATTTCTTATTTGTGACTTTCGTTTCTTAGAATGAGAAACTTCTCATTATTCCTAATTTATTTTTTTCCCTGGTATGATTATAGAGTAGTATGGTAATTGCCAAACCCAAGAACCAAAGGGTCTTTGTGTTGTCACTATATAGTTTTTCCCCCCCATCTATCTATCATTGTTATGTGCCATCAAGTCGCTTTCGACTCATAGCGACCCTATGTACAACAGCTCTGTTCTGTGCTAGTCATGCTGTTTTGTGTGTATGTGTATGTATATATATAACAGTGCTATATAGTTTTGGTAGCTAGAACTTTGCAAAGCATATTCAGAAAAATTTCCCTGTCTGTTATCCCTGCCTTGCCAAGAACATGTGGCTCAAATCTACCAGCTGCTTAGGGGGCGAAGGATGGGCAATGTTTTTCTGTGCGATTTTACTGCCTCTGAGTCCACTGGTCAGCTGTGGGCCAGTTCTGACTACACAGTACTTAACAATAACGACCCCTACTATTTCTTTCTCATTTCTTCTACTTGAAACTCAACTTCCCTATTTTACCTATTTAAAACAAATCTTATTATTTTTCTTTTTTTTCTATATTTCCTTTTTTTATTTATTAAGATTTTAATGAAAGTTTATAAAGAACTTGGGTTTCTAATCGTTCATTGCTACATGTTTTCCTCCCTGCCCCCGTCCCCACCAGATCACTTTTTTCTTTGGGGGGAAAAAGTTCTTTCATTGTTAAACAGTCCCCTCACGCCCACCCCAGACCATTTTTACTATGCAGCTCTTTTTGACTCTTGTCATGCCAATAAGACATAATCATATATTCCTTTTATAGTTCTCTTCCTCGTCTGTTTCAATATCGTGTAGATTATTTATCCCCTTTTCTTAGCGCCCCCCCCCCATGTCAGTTGTTTTATAACAAAGGCATTATGCAGTATTTGTCTTTTTGTGAATGAGATCTTTCACTCAGCATAATGTCCTGCAGGGTCACTCATTTTGTATAATATTTCATGAGTTCCCTTTTTTTAAAAAAAAAAAATATAGCATAGTATTCCATTGTGTGAATATACCACAGCTTATCTATTCATTTGTTGATGAGCACGTGGGTTGTTTCCAACTCTTTGCTATTGTGACCAAACCAGCAGCAAACATGGGTGTGCATATATCTGCTTGGGTGACAGTTATGGTTTCTTTAGGGTATATTCCCAGTAGTTGAATTTCTGGGTCAAATGATATTTCTATTTCTAACTTTATGAGAAAGTACCATACTGCCTTTCACAGTAGTTGCACCGTTTTATATTCTCGCCAACAGTGAATAAGGGTTCCAGTTTCTCCACAACTTTGCCAGCATTTGTTGTTTGCTGTTCTGTTAAATTTTGCTATTCTTTCTGGGTTGAGATGATATCTGATAGTAGTTTTGTCTTTTCTGTATTTCTTATGCACAAATGAGCAGATACATACATATATTTTTTAATCTCTCATTCTTCTTATGCACACCATTGGTTTGTTTCTTTTTCCTCTTACTTTAAATATATCTTTCATTTTCATAGATGCCTTTAAGTACACTCCTTCTCTTTGCACATTGTCATAAACAAAATTTTCATTACTTTTCACTCATAGAATATTAGATACAAAATGTACTACTCAGAAACATAAAGGCATCAACAACTTACTTTCTTGAAGATTCACATTCCAAAACTTAAATTTTTAACTGCATAAATATTATCATTCTCCCTGTTGATGTGCATGAAATGTAGCGCCATGTTGGGTAGTAATGTAAATGCATTTTATTAATCAGAGTATCCTTACATTGAATTTGCAGCTGGTAGCTGTGTTTGATGAGCAAGACCCACATCATGGAGGTGATGGCACAAGTGCCAGCTCCACTGGCACCCAGAGCCCCGAGATCTTTGGCAGTGAACTTGGCACCAACAATGTGTCAGCCTTTCAGCCTTATCAAGCAACAAGTGAAATCGAGGTCACGCCTTCAGTCCTCCGTGCAAGTAAGTGAAAGCTCTTTGCTTTTCCCCCTGCACATTTCATCTTCATTTACAGGAATGTCAACTTTTGTTATCTATCCATGCTCCTGTGAATGGAATTCATTATCTGTTTTTATGAAAAATTGATTAAGTCCAAAACCTGGGCAAATGTCTTCTGCAAGAGAAATAAGTATAATTATTTACTTTTTAATAAGTGAGGCTTCCTTTCCTTTTTATGCTGGTCGGCTTTTAATTGCTTCTCAAAGCAAATAATGATATTAGATAAAGTTGAACTACCTTGAATTTTCTTTTCGTATGTTTTGCCTTAGTGCTAGAATAAAGAGAATAATCAAGAGACTTCATATGAAAAGAGCTTAGCATCATTGATTGGCAGTCAACCAAGTTAAAATCTTCTGTTACTTGAACTTTATCTGAAGAGCAATTAAAGAAGAAATCCCAGAGTCAAATTTATCTGCAGGAATCTTGAAGAGCTACTATCAGAATATAGAGGGAAAGACTAGTCTTAGGAGATAACCAAAACCCACTGACTGCCGAGCAAGTCGATTCCAATTTACAGTGTTCCCTAGGACCCAGTAGGACTTGCTCACAGTGACTCCATGGCTCTTAGTCTTTATGCAAACACACTGCCACATCATTCTTCCCACAGAAAGGCTTGATAGGTCCAAACCACTTTTGGCAAATAGGATTTAACCTACTGTTCCACCACACCTCAATGTCACGGGACGTAGTGAGCCAATATTTGGAATCCTAAGATCCAGCATGCACTAGTGTTAGAAAACATACTCCAAAAATCACTTCAGAGTTATTTTGGCAGTCATTTCTAGAATTTTGGGAGTGGAAGGGAAAGTAGAAGTTGTGCTACAAATAATGTTGGTTGTTGTTATGTGCCATTGAGTCAGAACTGACTCATAGCTAAGCCTCCCTAGGATTTTCAGAAGCAATAAATCAAATAGACAGGAGGTGAATAAATTCCATTGGAAGTAATCTTTCACCTATGAAGCTGCTGGTAGATTCGAACCACATGCCTTTGGGTTGGTAGTGCAGATTCTTACTTAATAGACCATCAGAGCTTTTTCAACTGTTTAATCCATTTGGTCCTATCCTCTTAAATTGAGCAATTTTTAAAGTAAGAATGCTCAGGCCAAGAAATTTATAAGTTTAAAGATCATTATCTTTTAGGTACATCTATTTTAAACATTCCCATTACTCAAAGGGAAAATTTGATCACGTGTTACTTTATTGATAGTTTTGATATATGCTGAGTTGTTGTATACTATTGAGATGGAACTGACCTATCCCTCCAGCAGGTTTTTAGAGGTGGTTAGTCATGTGGGAGGAGATTGCCCATCCTTTTCCCACAGAGCATCTAGTGGGATTCAAACTGCGTGCCTTCAGGATTGCAGCACAGCTTCTTGCCACTAGGCTACTAGAGCTCCTTAGAGAATCACATTTGGGTGCAAACCAATTGCCAACTTACTAGAATTGTTTTCTGTCATCTTGACAGGAAGCCATCAATATTATCACTCAGCGTAAAGTACCCAAGATTTCCAGGACAACTTAAAATGGCGCCACCATTGTATTTTGACTTACTTGAGAATTTTTTAATTTACAAGCAGTTTGTGCATGTATACAAGCCAATTGTGTGGTAATACCATTTGATTAATACATAGATATGCTATTTAAAGATATCTGTTGAACTTGCTTCAGGCGGTGTCTGGAAAAAGATGAGGCATACATTATACATGCTATTTAAGATGATGTGCAGGTGGTACGCAGATAAATGTATTTTCTTTGATTATATACCAGCTCATTAAACCTATGTTTGAACTGATGTCTGTGCGGAATGAGCCTATGGTTCAGAAGTGGTTTGTTTCAATTTAACTCAGAGCACCTTTCAGTTAAATAATAGCGTAAGTATTCAGGTGCCTTAAAGCAACGTCTATATGTGAGTAATTGAATCCTAAAATATATGCTTAAGGGTGTCCTCGAGACATGCTGCATAATGCACTGAACTGCTAATTGAAAGGTTGCAATTTGAATCCACCAGTTGCTCCAGTCAGGCGCATGGTTGATAAAGACTTTCTAGAAAAACACCTCCCACAGCCATGATCCTAGGAATGAATTTTTGCAACCTCCTTTTTTCTTGCTACAAAGGCTAATGAAAGCTTAGAAAAGGAAAGTGGACATTACCTCTAGATGTTAAGATAAAGCTCCTGTTGTTTGGTTGCTGTCTGGTTGATTCTAACTCAAAAGGATGTCTCATGACAAAAGAATTGTCCCATAAGCTTTTCTTGTCTGTAATCAATATAGCAGGTCATCTGCTCTTTGTTGCATACAACAGTCTAGTGGGTTCGGTTTAGCAGCACAACTCACTATAGACAACAAAGATTCAGTCCAAAATGTCAGTAGAGCCAAGCTTGAAAAATCCTGAGCTAAGTGAATCAGCTCAGGATCAAAATAGCAGTTATTTAAGAGAAACTAAAACTGACACCTGAGAGAAATTTTCATGAACCTTCATAAGGGGGAACCTTCTTCAATACATTGCATAATATCCATAATAATTTCTTTAAAAGTGATTAATATTTAATCGTGTTTTTTGAGGTTTGTCAAAAATAGAGACTAGAATACTGAGATAATAAAATCACAAAGGCTCTGTGGAGCTTGGGTGGTGTAATCCACAGTGCTAACCCACAGACCAGGCTTCTCTGGAGGTTTGAATCCGCTGGCTGCTCCATAGGAGGAAGGGGGACAGTCTCTTGTCATGTGATTTATTTACAGCCTTAGAAAGCTGTCAGAGAGTCAGCTGTAAGTTAGTTTCGACTGAACGTCAGTGAGAAGAGAGAATACATGATAGCACAACATCAAAATAATAGTATGAATGAGTGTGAACTAAGTGTGTGGAGATTGCGAATATGCTGGGGTTACAGAGGATGAGTTGGGGAGGCTGCAGGGGCTGTGGCTGAGGAACTTTGGTGCTGGTGGAGCAAGGTAGATCCGGAGTATGGTCTCAATGACATCACACACCAGGCCACTCTTTCTGAGGTTTCCCTACACAGCCATCGCTGGAGCCGCTTCCAGCTGATGTTGGATTGCTGGTCTACAGTAGCGGGGGTTGGGGTATGGGGGGAAGGCGAGTGGTCCTAGTTTACACACACACCCCTTTTGGATCTGATGGACCTCATGTGAGTTTAAAGAAGATGGTAAGACCTCGACTTCCCAGACACTCAGAATGGTGTCCTTTGAAAATTAAATGAAGAAAAGTTGTAGCCACCTTTTGTGCCAAGATCTAGCTTATGCAATGACTTGAGAACAGTGCAGCAGAGACATTTGCTTGGTAGCAAGTGAAGAATTGAAAAGCAGCCTCCGATGCTCTCTCACCTGTGGTACCTATTGCTTCACTCATCAAACATTCCAAGGTTGAGGAATTCAGGTAGAGTGAAAAAACTAGAGGAGAGACACTAGTACTTATAAAGGACAGTGTTAGGAGGGTGGAGAGAGCAGTCCTACTTCTTCTGCTTCTGGCTTGGTTAGGTTACATAGGGGGCTCCTTTTTTTTTTAAGGTATTTGGCCTCGTTACTACTATTACATTTTGTTCTCTGGTGGGCTAGTGGTAAGAAACTGTGCCATCAGCCAGAGACACACAATTCCAATTCATCAGCAGCTCCATAGGAAAAAGGTGGGCAATCAATTCCCTTGAAATTTACTGCCTCTGAAAACTACTGAAGGGTCAGTTGTAAGTTAATTCTGACTTGATAGTATACAACGATTAAAAAAAAAAGGCAGACCTACCAAATGCTGTCTACATATTTAATGAAATCTTACTATAGATTCCAAATTAATTTTTAAAGGAGGTGGAAAAAGGAGGCAAATTCTGAAGTTTATGTGGAGAGGAAAGACACCCTGAATAAGCAGAGCACTTCTGAAAAACAAAAATGAAGTGGGAGGCATAGCACTCCCTTACCTCAACACCTACTGTACAGAAGTAGTAACCAGACAGCATGGTACTAGTATAGTGTTAGACTCCTCAACTAATGGAACAGAATCAAGAACCCAGGAATTAACCCATCGATCTGCAGTCAACTGATAATTCAACAAGGAAAGAAAATTTGTCAGATGGGGAAATGACATCCTCTTTAACAAATGGTGCTGACAAAACTGGGCTGCTACCTATAGAAAGCTGAAACAGGAGCCACACCTCTCATTATACACAAAAATCAACTCAAAGTTGGGTCAGACACTTAGGTGCAAAGCCCAAAACCATAAAATTGTAAGAGACAATTTAGGACCAAGTTTATAAGGCTTTCCCTATGGTATAAAAAGGCTGTCAAATACAGCTAGAAATCTACAACTAGGAGAAGATAAAATTGATGAATGGGATCTTCTAAAGATTATATCCCTGTACACATAAAAAATATTTTCCAATAGAGTGGTAAAAAAACCAAACCCTGGGAAAAAGTATTTGTCAATACCATCTCAGACAAGGGTCTCGTAACAAAATTTTACAGAATCTTATAGGACCTCCACAAGAAAAAGACTAATAACCTAATTACAAAATGTGCAAAAGACATGGAAAGACTTTTCATAGAGGAAGACATTCGGATGGACAACAGACACATGAAGAAATGCTCCAGATCACTAGCAATAAGAGAGAGGCAAATCAAAACCACAATGAGATATCATTTCACCCCAGTTGCAGTGGCAAAGTTTAATAGGACAGCAAGTTGGAAAAGTGGCAAAGTTGGAAAGAATGTGGAGGGGTTGGAATGTCCAGACTAGCTTTTCCTGTCAAAAGAATATCAGAAATCATTGGAGAAATAAATGACTGAATTCAGATGTGGGACAGGAATTGGGTGCAGTGAACGTGGGTTTAGGTTTATGCTGTTCTACATGATAATAAGGAGGCTGTGAAAAATTACTTTTGCTAATTGTTAGATGCCAATGAGTTGGTTCTATGGAAATACAAACCGCTATCCCATCCTCACAATTATTGCCAGGTCAGAGC